TGTTTCATACAAAAGTTGTTGAGTTTTAACAAAAGCATCAAATAGCGAAACTTATTTAACCTTGAGCATAACCATGGAGGAGCCCTCAAGGTCAGCTTTAAAATTAAAATTTTAAACGGAAACCTCCAATTTTTATTCAATATTCTTATAGCTTATCTCGAAAGCTATAGCTATTTCGAAAACACTATAATTAAGTTATTTTTCATCGAGTACTTTTCGAATTATGAGGCTTGAAATAATTTCTTAATTTTGTATAATTTTATGTAAAATATCTAATAAATGATAAAACACAATAAAAAAGAAGGTTAAGAAGGTAAAAGATCGTAGCGCAAGATGATATTTTCTTTTCAAGATCCTTTTCAATGATCGATATGTCGTTGGAAAATAAATAAAATAAAATTTTAAAATAAAAATAACAACATGTTTAGACAAGGACAAGCGCGATAGGAAATGGATAGATCTTGTGTACAATATTAACGGACGCAAAATTTAAAAAGGCCAACACTCACCTCGTCATCAGAAAAAAGAACGCAATAAATCGCACGTGAACAATTTTAAATAAAATTGTATTGCGTGACAATCCCCCGATGTAAAAAGATTCCTCAAATTTGTAAATAAATCATAAAGTCGTAGAGATAAAATTGAGCCTGGTTCGAAATTTGTAAAAAATTTGGGAGTCTCTCTGAATTAAAGATCCACAGGAGAGCCGGCAGAAACGAATCGATTTCTTTAATCGATGAATGAAGCCTATGTAAAATAATACAAAGAAAGAAAGCAATACATGTCAAGAACAAAGAAACCCATATCAAGCATAAAACTAATAAGTAGTTAGTAATTTCATATCGCAAAAACTGTTAACAAAATTGAAAATCGAAAGTTATAAAAGAGAATAAAAAAATGTGCATAGTATTATACAAAAGACATGGGAAAATATAGAGCGAAATCGAGAGTCGTTTAAGCTTGATTATTACAAAAGCTGTCACGCAATACAACTTTATTTAATATTTTTCACGTATGCGATTTATTGCGTTCTTTTTTCTGATGACGAGGTGAGCGTTGGCTTTTTTAAATTTTGCGTCCGTTTGTATTATACATAAGATTTATCCGTTTCCTATCGCACTTGTCCTTGTCTAAACGTGCTGTTGTTTTTATTTTAAAATTTTATTTTATTTATTTTTCAACGACCGAACATTGAAAAGGAAAGTTGAAAAAAAATGTAGTCGACCAAACTAGCTAGAAAATTGTTTATTAATACGACATTTCGACCATATGGTTGTGGTCCTTATCAAGTATATACTGGAAAGATTTATAAATAAATCTAAACTAGACTTATAAATAAATCTAAAACTAAATAATTTAATTAGACGCGGTAAAGCTTTATGTACGCGAATGAAAGAACATTGTAATAATATAAAGTTACATGAAACTAATCACTCAGTCATTAGCAAACATAGATTAGAATCGGGACATGATTTTGACTAGTCGAAACCCAATATTTTGCATAGTGAAAAGTATGTTCGAAAGAGAGAGATCGCTGAGATGTTTTTTATCAAGAGATTTAATAATCTAATCAACCTACAGAAAGACACGGATAGTTTAAACAACATTTATGACAAAATAATAAAGGTCACGTAGTTTCGTTTTTCGTCTGGTTGTGTTTAGTTTCTTGACGAAGTCTCACACGGACGCATCAGTTTCTCTCAAATTCAAATCTAGTTAAATAACGTTTTTTGCTAATGTGACTTGTGCAGTTTTGCAAGATTATCGTCTATGCCTGTCTCCTGATTATTATTACATCGGTAAAATTGATCACACTTTATTTCGTTGTGCTTGTTATATTATTCAAACCGAAAATTAATTATTTAATTTATTTATAAATCTTTCCAGTATATACTTGATAAGGACCACAACCATATGGTCGAAACGTCGTTAATAAACAATTTTCTGGCTAGTTTGGTCGACTACATTTTTTTTCAACGATCCTTGGATTATCTGACTAGCGACATAAAGTTATTTTATTAATTGAAAAGGAATTTGAAAAGAAAATGTCATCTTGAGCCATGATCTTTTAGTCTTCTTTTTTATTGCGTTTTATCATATTTATTAGATATTTTACATAAAATTATACAAAATTAAGAAATTATTTCAAGCTTCATAATTCGAAAAGTACTCGATGAAAAATAACTTAATTATAGTGTTTCGAAAAGCTTTCGAGATAAGCTGTAAGAATATTGAATAAAAATTGGAGGTTTCCGTTTAAATTTTTAATTTTAAAGCTGACCTTGAGAGCTCCTCCATGGTTACGCTCAAGGTTAAATAAGTTTCGCTATTTGATGCATTTGTTGAAACCCAACAACTTTTGTATAAAACGTTTCTTTCTAAAATGTTTTGTTTTCAAGATATTTTACCGGTCCGATATTTTTTACGCCTGTACAAGTTGTTTATATGGAGAAGAGAGAGAAACAAATATAATTTTGTCAAATGGCATAGTCATAGTTATCAATGCTTCGATGACATGAAGGTTAAACGACGACAATATGCCTTTGATGACGCCAAGCGTAACCTCGCATGAGCTGCGCCTATGATGAAGTTGTTATCGGTATCAAAGCGTTACCTCGATTTTTATGTATATACATTGGAAAAAAATAATTAGTATCGCGACTATCGCCATTAAAAAGTTAATATCGAGCGTGTAAACGATTTACGGAATTAAACTTATTTTCTGTATAATTTTCCTATAATCTTTAGAACAATAATCATTTGTTCCAGTTATTTAATAATAATTTAATGGTGATAAAAAATTATGGTTATTTATTTTATGATTAATGCTTTTGGTTCCCGATTATGTACCGGTTGATACGAGTATTGTATCTTATCAGGTAGCAAAACTGTTCACTAAATTTATAAATAACAATAATTTACTATTATATATCATTGCTTAAAACAGAATTTATGACATCATTTTTTTATTGTCAAGTGGACTAGTCATTCTTAAATCTAAGATATCATAGAATTCAGAATTTGTTTTAGATATTTCATATCTGAAAAGAATTTTCTTTCTTGACTTTTTTTCTGAAGTAGGTAAAACATCATTTCCACTTTATATGAATAATTTGATTTACTAACGTTTTACGCAATGAATCAAAATTTACCAAATAGTATTTGCTGTCTTCTGACCACACAAAATCTCATAAAACATTGTTCTTCATGCTCTCTTTTCTCTTTTTTTCTCTTTTTTATGTCGAAAGATCTTAAACATTTTTATGAAAAACGTTTCACTTCCGTGAGTAACTGTATTCGTACTGCGTCCCGAAAAAGACATACATATATGTATAAAAGAATGTATTTTTTTAAGGAAAAGATATCCTGCGATATGTTGAAAAGAAACGTTCTCCAGCGTTACACAGACAGATGGTACCAATAAAAAAAATGTCAAGTTATTATAAAATTTTAACTGTTACAAATACGCGAATTATTTATGCATTATTTTCTTCTTTTTTAAATTTGCTAGTTGTAATTATAATAACAAAGAAATTAACAAAAAATAGATATAAAAAAATATTGATTAGTTAACAGTTAATGCATTAATAATAAAATAATATTGAAAAATGCTAGTAATTATAAAACGCTTATTGTAACTGAAAATGATTATAATTGTTTTGATTATCGATTATAATTTTCAAAATACAGTTTCAAATGTATTATAGTTTTTGAATTTTTGCTTTGCGCGCTAGTTCTTTCACAACTGTTTTCCAAAACTTTCCCAACATCTGTTTACGATAAATCAGTAAGCATTCTTTTTCAAGGAAAAAGTTAAATAAAAATAAAGATAGAAAATTCAATAGAAATATAATTCTTAAAAAGAAAGGATTTTTTAAAAGAAGATTTCACAAAGGTACAGTTATACAAATAAATAAAAGTAGAAAATAAGAAAGTAGTAATAAAAAAGAAAAGTTATACAAATAAAAGGAAGAGAATAAAAATTAGCTTTATATCCCATCATTAAAATGCTTGATATTTTTTTTTTGGTATCCATAATTTTGTGAGTCACTATCACCTGCGGATTTAAGAATAAATAGAAGATTTTTGCGTTCCTTTCTTTTTCTTTGTTTTTGAAGTGGCTTGATATAATAAAGCAGAATGTGCATGTGCGTGTGCTATAGCGAAGATTGTGATACGGAAAAAGTAAAAGACACACTCTCGTACATAAGCGGAGGTTGAAAAAGGAGAGTACACGCTGCAGAAATAGTCATCCTGTTATCGATATCACCGTTTACTTATCGTCCCACGGTCAATATTTCGTCCCCACCGCCCTTTTTTTTCTCTCGTCTTCACCTCTTCCCCCTTTTCAACGCGGTATCGTTAATGTACGTTTGCGCATCCGTCAATGCGTTCGCCACTTATCCCGGTTTTATCGGCCGATAACACCAATTGCAACCAGTATCGTCGGTGATCGAAAGAGAAAGGAGAAATATTCGTTATATGAGAAATATCTTTTAGTGCACCGTCGTACATCAGGAAAAACGTATCCTGACATTAAAATCGCACCAATAGCGCAATTTGGCAATTTCTACTTTCGAATTTAGAAAATAAAAAATACTGCATTCGAATTAAAAAAAAATAATAAATATTTGTAATCTCTCTCGTTTTAAATTTTTATGAGTTCCGTTGTGTGCGGATAATATTGAAGCAAAAATATTAAATATTTTTTTCGCAGAAAATTATGTTATATCGCAAAATATATCTATTCCTATCTTTGTTTTCATTTAATTTGAGAGAAAAGAAAAAAGATGATTATATTTTTATATTTGAGAGATGAGCAAGATTATTATCGCAGGATAGTATTTCAGTTTTCGCCCTGCGTTTTTGACCAGCACAATTTTGTGTAATGCGCAGGTGCGTGTATATAGTGAATATAATTAACAATTAAATATATATAGTGTATAGTGAATATAATTAACAATTAAATATATGATATTAATAATAAATATATCACTCACCATTTGATGCTCTTCTTTATGATGTTGCTGACAATCTTCTGCGATTTTCTGGATGATATTACATGGGCATCATCAAGCTTCTGTCGTTTCGTTGTCTCCATCGTATTCTTCTCGTACATTTCTGGTTGACATTCTTCAGCAATGTTATTTTCTTCATCGGCATTTACCTTCGCCGAATTTTCAACCCATTCTACTATGTGGTCCTTTTGATCGACGGATAATGCAGAGTCGCCTCCAAGTTCCTCTTCATTAATAAGCTCGCTGATCGTGGTCGGAGAACCAACAATTCCAATCTCCGATTTCTCTTCTGCTCGCATTGAGAAACTCCTCGAATCCCTTTCGTCTTCTGTACTTTTTAAAGTTGCGGAAGCAGTATATTTCTTTGAGCTATCCATACATACATTGTCTCTTGGAGGAGTTCCTTCCTTTTTTACCATCTGCTGATCTTTTCCACTGCCGTCTTCTTCATCGTTGTCTTTTGCGTTTGTAGAAACACCAGCAATCTTCTGGAGCATTTCCATCTGCAAATCCCCGTGTACGACTTTTAAGATTTCGTTCAGTCTCTGATCTATGTCGGGGGAACATTTTCTGACTTCTTGATTGTCAGATCTTTCTTCTGTAGAAGAAAATTCCTTGAGATTCTCTTTGACTTCTACTTCAATTTTCTCCAAAGATGCATTTCCGGATTTAGTTTCCTCTTTAGAATCTCCATTGCAATCAGTTTTAAAAGCATTTTGTTTCTCTTTATCAGTCAAATCTGTATCTTTGACAACTTTCTCATTATTCACGTCTGTGTCTTCTTTAGAAGTAGATGCTTTGTCAATGTCTGTAAGTTCACCCTTTCCTTCATCGGAAGCTGTTTCATTGGTTGCAGAAGTTGCTGAAGGAGTCTCAGACATGTCGTCGTTATTCGTTGAGTGTTTGGTATCTTCTGTAGTGTTTTCTGCCATTATTGGATATTTCAAGAAATCAGTTTCCCAACATCTTAATTTCAATCAATATGCTCTTTCTTAGCATATTAAGAAGACTTATATTGTTTTTATGGGCATATTACATTGACAAATATATATTTTCTTAGATATATTCTTTGTAGATTTTTCTTCCAGTTGCGTTCTTTGTGTTGTTTGTGTATGTTCCTATAACAGAGAATAAAACATCTTTTAGAATTATAAAACATATGCAAAATGTTGCAAAATTATCAGGTATTTTTTTATAATAATAAATTATTTGATCATATAGAGTTTTTTTAATATTATCAAAAGAAATAATTATTCGTTGTAAGTTTCTAATTTTTTCCATTTTTCTAAACATTTTAAATTTTATTCAAAAAGGTTGTAGAGTTTTATTATTTTTTTAACTTTCAAAGTTTAGTTTTACAAAAAAAGTCTTTCCTTTCCAATTACTTACAATTACAAAATTATCAATGCTCATTGAAGGAAAAATCGACACGAGAGAAATTAATCAAATAATTTTCTGCCGAAAGCATATTTAATAATTATCAGAACACTTTTTTCAATATGTAAAAAAAATAATTTTGTTCTCTTAATTATTTTTAAAAATTATTGATGTCATCATTAATGTACTATTGCAATACACAGTATTTCTGAGTAATCTTTTAGCTTTATTTCATTCAATCATTCCCACAGAATTATTTCGAGTACGAGTCTCTTTACCTGAATGCATTTAACATGATCTCTTGATTCGAGTTCTCGTAAAATACTTAAACTTACAAATCATCAGCCTTTATTCCTTTCCGTTCATTTTTATACCTGTCCTTGAATGGGAAACGAGAATGATTTATGAGAATGGAACAATAGAGTAAGTAGTTGAAAAGAAAAAATTTACATTCATCTAACTACTTCCTACTGGTCACAAACAAAGTCTAAAGATACAACAAAATACTATGCACATTTGTCAAAAAAAAAAAAAAAAGAAAGCTGAATGAAACAAATATAATGTGCGAGATTGTTTTCATCGATAAGTCAAATTCCTGCATTATCGAACTATTACAATGAGGTTAGGAAGAATCGAAATATTACACAAGACAATTTACCACAATTTCTCATAAATGTCGACATTATTCCTCTCGTACACAATACTAACCACATACGAGTTTCTCAAGAAAGACGTCCGACTGCGTAACACACGTAATAATCGCGCAATTATCGTTTCACGGTCCAGCATAAAAAAATAAATAAGCCGATACATTAATTTCAAAAAAATTGTAAACACGCACACACACGTTTAAAAAAACATAGAAAATTCTCGCGTAAATTCCCGATCGAGTCGGAGATGCTCGAGCGATTCTTGCGCAAAATGATGCCCTGGCAAGACTGTCATCGCATTCGCGAGACGACGACAATAGATTCTTTTTCCGCAACGCAATGTTTACTCGAGACGAGATAACGACGTAACCTATCTGCAAAAAAGATCTCACGCAAGATTGTCAGCCGGGGGCTTCTTACGCCTTTCTTACGCACTTAATCCAATTGCTCCCCCGCCGATCTCGTCTCTCCTCTGCCAAAATAAGTCGTCCCGAGCCTCCAGCGAGAGACCTGTCACTCGCTCCTCCAGAAGCTTCCAGGTTTGTTTACGCTCTCGAGACGCGACGACGAGAAGGTCCGAGACCGAGACCCGGCTCAAGACTCAATATCGCGACGCGATTTTATTACGCGATCGTTGCGGGAGCATCTCACGGACGGGCGCGACGTATCGTAGCGCGCGCACCTAACCTCTATTATTTAATTCGGAGGCACCGGCGAGTCGAGGCCGACGAGGGACGCGAAAAAGTACGGGCGAAAATGTAACGCGGGAGGGAAAGATCCCTTTCGCACTCTCTCTCTTTTTTCTCCTCTTCTTTTTACATACCTTGAATCCAGAATTCGTCGGCGCGAGGAGTAAGCTCGTCGGTCGAACGGCTCTCGTTCCGAGGGACGATGACGACGGCACGAAATTCGCGTTCGGAAATGGCAGCGGAGATTGCGACGCGACGCGATCGCGAACGTAAACGACGCGAGCGGAGATCTTCTCGTGAAAGGAAAAAAAAAAGAATTCCACGGGAAATACGAGAGCGCGTAGGAAAACGCGAGAGCGGTGCGTCGAGGCTGCTGACCTCACTGAAATTTAGCCATGTTGAAATGCGCAATCCGCGGATTCGAGAGAGATAGCGGACGGGATATGGCGCTATCTCCCTCTCTCTCTTCGCCCCTCTTCGCACTCTCCCCACTCCTTCTAATAAAAGTATGCGTCTCACTTGCCGCTTCGCGAGCGTCGTTTACCCTTCTTTGACTTTCAATGAACGACGAGGATGAAAACGATTTCGCGAGCGTCGAATGGAATGTGCTTTAAAAAAATTGTTATGAAAAATATCTCGTTAATAATGTAATCGATCCCATTTAATGATATGTTAATGATATGTCGAGAGAGAGATTTAATTCTGATTATAAGACTTGTAAAGTTTCGATAGAATTTTTCCAAAGCGTTTTTACGCGTTTTTTTAAAAGCAAAGTTATTCATCTGACACATGTATATTCTCTCTCTCTCTCCCTTTCTCGGCTTATGATTTTTTTATACGAAAATTATATGAAGTTCGGTTCTTAAATGATTGATGGTACCTTACTTATCAATTAACAATAAAAACCAAATTGTTTATATATCCCGAAATTCGTGCAAATATAATATTCCATTAGAGAATTAATGATTGTTAAATAAAGAGCGATCGTTTTCAATATAATTTATAATTTCAATATAATTTATTATGAACAATACGATTTTCATTCAGAATTTCTCTGAATCGCGCGAGGGAGAATCTTTTATATAAATTGGATTTATATTTATTATTATATCAATCTTTTTATTATCGTCAAAAGCTTATACAACTAATCAAAGAAACTTTTATTTTTTGATTACTTTAAACTTATAAAAAAAAGAATAGAATCTAAAATAAGACAAATTATATGAAATTCGGTTCTTAAATGATTGATGGTACTTTATCAACTAACAATAAAAATCAAATCGTTTATATATCCCGAAATTCGTGCAAATATAATATTCCATTAGAGAATTAATGATTGTTAAATAAAGAGCGATCGTTTTCAATATAATTTATAACTGAACAATACGATTTTCATTCAGAATTTCTCTGAATCGCGCGAGGAAGAATCTCTTATATAAATTGGATTTATATTTATTACTATATCAATCTTTTTATTATCGTAAAAAACATACAACTAATCAAAGAAACTTTTATTTTTTTATTACTTTAAACTTATAAAAAAAAAAGAATAGAATCTAAAATAAGACACTTACCAGGAAAGAAGCAGCAATGATACTCGCGCCTTTCTGACAGTTCATTTCCGGTTCAATTCAATGTTCCGATGATCGCGCTTCGAAGCGAACTTGTCGACTGAATAATCGCGACTTTCATTCATCGTCGACGCGAAGACTTTCGCAGGTATGTACGTAAATGTCAATATTGTTCCCGTGTAATGTCTCGTGCGTTGTTTACGTTTCGCGTTGGCGACCTTCGCCGTTGCGATCATCGTGTTTCTCAAAGTCAATTGTCTCCGCATAACTCAAAATATTTATGCGCCTGTGGAACATACGGCCAGGTGGCTCTGCGCATGCGTCGACAATATGGCAGTCGGCGCCGGTCGAGCCGGCTGTTGCGTCCTCGCGTGTTTGACGTGTGCGTGCGATCGAATCGTAAATCTGTGCGTGAATGTATGTTTCAAATCGAATCGTGTGTAGTTCAAGGACTCTGGAAAACGAGGACTTTTCCCCGGAAGGATGGCTTCGCCTGGATTTCCACGGAGAGAACAACAGGCTGATCGCCGGACGTTGACGGAACGAGTTTTGAATCGACATCGACGCAAAAGGAAAGAACGAGGTAAGTGATAACGATATTTATTCCAGTCGCCAATTTTCAAAGCATGATCGAAATGGACTTCGATTCTGTATATGATATATCGCGGGAGAGGGGGGAGAAGGGAAAGCTGTCTAGATAAATTGACGGGAGAGACATGACTCCTGCGGTGTTCTCGTATATTTACAGATTATTCGTAATTCATAGTCAATAGTAATCATATATATATATATATATATATATATATATATATAATATGTATATATCAACAAAATAATATTTTAGTCATTCTTACGTCGCTAATAAAATCTAGAAGCTAAACAGTCACAGGGTCTCGATCATCTAAAAAATTGCTGGCTCCTGCCTAGTCGCTATCTTCGCGCGCATTTCGCGCTCTCTACCTAACAATAAATAAACAAACAAGTAGAAATCTATACATTCTCACGCGCGTCACATCGCGAGCATGATGGTTAATGATGATTATGAATATTGTATGCTGCACGGTCGTAGATAAGGAAATGACGTCGATAATTACGACGGTTCGTTGACATTCCGTAGATGGAGCAGCTCTGAGTCACGAGCGATAATTTTTAATTAGCACCGTTTACAAAGAAAGAAAATAATGAAACGTATGAGAGCGATTTTTTGATTGCAAGAGAGAAAATATTTTTTAAAGAAGAATTTTTCTATCTGGCTAAAAAAAATTCCTCTCCTTCCCTCTCGCATTAAAAAATTTGCATTTCAGGCGTAAAGATATTTTCAGCCTCTCACATTATCGCGTATTACATTTTACTTACGCATTTATTATTGAATTTTCTTATACAAGTCGGCCTTGTCTTGATATTTCTACAATTAATATTTCCTTTCGAATCGGAATGAGGTGAAGGATTAATTGAAATCGATTGCGCGAAAAAATTTTTCTTTCTTTCTTTTTTCTTGCCAGCGATAATCTTATTCTCGTTAATAATATTTTGCATAATATCGTCTGTATCGTTTTACGTATGACGAAATGGGGACAGAACGGTCTTTGTCTTTATTTTTGTCGCGACGTAGCGTGCCACGTGATCTATCATCGTCGTTGTGAATGTCGTAGGTGTATGTATGTTAAAACTGTGGTGTCTCTAACGAGGTCGTCGCGGATACCGCTAATAATCGCGTGCGTTTCCGTTGGACGATCGTTTCTACGTTATCTACGACCGTAGACGCAAATCGTACACCAAATGCATCAATCTCTATCTCTCGCACATAGCCGCCTTAATTGTACATCCGGGATCAATTACGCCCCGGTTAATCCGCGATACTTCCGTTAACTTGGCACTATTATATTATATTCCGTGTTGTGGTGTTTTTATGAAAATTCAATATTTCTAAAATCTACCTCCTTGCAATATATTTTTTTTTTAGCAATTAATCATCAATTGGTTTTGAATTATTTTGTAGCATAACATAATATTAAGTTAACATTCTTGTAATTCGATCCACAACGTAATAAATTATAGATTAGAATAAAAAATTAGCAATAAATTGACATTTGATTGTATTCGAGTTTGATTTGTTGTAATAGGAAGGCCAAATTGACGGAAATATCCACGATAATTAATCCATGTTTTTTTATATGGGCATAACAAGTAAATGAAGGTTTGATTAATTCGATACGATCGTCGATACTCAATTACTCGCTCGCTTAATTGAATGGTTAACGGTTCATTCTGATCATAGCTCTAGCTACGATATAGTCGGAGAAATAAAATTCTGTGGCTCCATGATTTACGCGTCATGTATCCTATCTTACTGCATTAAATCTAAAAAAAAAAAAACAGAATAATGCGCTTCATTTCAGAAACAAAATTTGCTTTGAATTAAAATAGAAATTGTCTCTGAAATAATTTTTATAATAAAAAAAAAAGTCTAATATGCTCATTCGTAATATATTATATTAAATATATTATTTAATATATATTATATTAAATATAATTAAATATATTTAATATATTATACCTAATATATTATATTTAATATAGTATGTTTAATATATTATATTTAATATAGTATATTAAATGTATCAGTGTTTAAGAGGGAGAGAGAAAATATATATTTACATAATTTTTTAAGAGAGAGAAAATAATATTAAATGTCGGCATAACTTTGTGTTCTCTACTTTATGCTCCATTTTATTTTGGAATATTTGGAAATTTCTTCTATGCTCCTCGTTTGACACACACGGTAGCAACATTATAAATGAATCTACTCCAAAATTTACAATCGGGATCATCACGGGATACACGGTTCATGCATGGGACTAGAGAATTAACTTGACCGACGCCAATCCGTATCGGTGAGCGACTCGCATAAATTCTCGCCTGAGAACTGTACCAATTGCTGCGAGTCACCGAGGAATTCCTTTCGCCGTAGCTAAGTGTCGGATTTCGACTCCGATAATCAGTGTCGTGCACGGCACGATGTCTCATGTATTCGTGCGTGTCAACGTATGCTAAATACATTGTCTCTTTTGAAGATTCACGCACTCGTGAACATAAAAAGGACCTTTTCCCTACCTAAATGGACTATCTATACGCTTTCTTTATGGCCATCCCCTCGCCATGGTTCGCATTCCCCGTATTCGTTTTTTTTTTTTTTAACTACCGAATAGCACCTATTTTCGTCATGCATAGCTATGCAATTTATTTTGCGCCGTTTCATTCCTTTTATTTTTTTATTACGCGCTTCAATCCTTTGCGTCCTTCCGAAACATGTTACGTAACGCAGAGAAAACTGGACACATATCGCGCGTTTGAAGCGGATACAAATTTAAGACGGTGATTTATTGAAAAAATTAGTTTAACATTCTCGACGAGTGATAAATTATTGTACGGTAATAACAATTATTGGATTGCAAAGGATCAAGGCGCTCATTTTCGAATCGCCGAATTTACACCAGCAACATTTTCGGAACATTTTTTTTATCCTATAACGAGTCTTATTTCATAACGCGAACAATTAGACAAAGATTGCGCAGATTTACGCTATAAATAGCTTCGTCCGCGTCTAGAATATTCAAGCGTGACTATTTTTGAAATGGCATTTCTACGATACGTTATTGTGTCTCCGAGGTTTTCCGGTGCTCGACGGAAATAGCCGCATGCACATACATACGAACGATAAGTGAGCCAAATAGCCGTAATCAATTTGATGCTCTTTAATTGCCTATGTAATATTTTCAGCCGGAACAAACTAGATAAAACGAATTAGAAAGAATTGTTCTCAGTATCGCCAATTATCGTGTGTAATACGTAAGAAAATAAGAACGATTAAAAAAAAAAATAAAGGCAATTGTGTAAAATCCTTATTAAAGTTATTTCAAGCTTCTTCGCTATAAATTCAGTCGACATGTACATTTGCTCTTAAAACCATAAACTTTATTAAACTAACATGTAAGAGATTATAAACGTATGTGTAACATTTAAGCTATAACAATAAGTAAATATTGATTGAAAGCAATTAAGGTTCTTTTTATGAGTGTTATCTCGAGGCAATCTAAAACGAGGAAGCTGTTTACAAATCGAATTATCAACAGACATGAAAGAAACGCGCCAATTAATTGAGCCAATTAGAAAGGAGATTAATAAATTAATTTAAATCTAACGGTAGGATTTTTTAATTTAGGGAAGCGCGGCGTTTTACAAAATTCGAATTGATCGAATGCGACGAGATTTTACGATGAAATTATAAAAGGCGTAGAATCGAAAGTATCGGAGAATCTAAACGCATCATCGTTAATTGCGCAGATGGAAATTCATTGCATCCTGCTCGTGTAAACTCGGCTCGTAAAGTCACGGATATAAATATTTGATCGTGACGCACTAATTTCTATTTCGCTGGGATGGGGAAATTGAGTTACGATCGCCGTGACGACGCAAAAGTGAAAAAAAGCATCGCGCTAATAACGTTAAATCAATAACGAATTTTATAAAATAACAAGGATACGATAACAAATAACGTTACGAATAAAAGAAACCCCATCGCATTATACAATACAAAAATCAAATGTAACTTTAAATACATAACTGCATTTCTTTCTCTAATGAAAATTCAATACGTGCTGCATTCTTCGAGATTTTTCACACTTCTAGACTTCTTCTAATTCTAATTAAATTCTAATTAAATTAAACATAAAGTTATATCGATGCGATCTGTTTTTCGCAAACAGTTTTGTTTTACAATCTGTGTAAATAATTAGTAACAAAACTAATTCGTAACAAACTGGCAAACGCTTTTTTCGCTGACTACTTATATAAAAAAACAGATAACGTGTACGAAACGGAGGAGCCTCATCACGGCGTTCGCGTATCATTGCACTTGTGTCAAGGGTCTCTACAAAGTTGCGATGAGAGAAAATCGCACAGTTTATATCGTTGAAGCAGTGGTGTAGAGGAGAGAGTCTTATAAAACATCACATCAACGATTGTACACGAGATACTTTTTTTTTTCTTTCGCTGTAATTCAACCGCGCATTGAAGTTCTGATCTGCGACCTTATTACGGAGTACTTGCGTAATTTTCCGCAATTGTACGTTTGACGTGTAACTTTTTTTTTCTCTGATAATAGTGACTGGTCCTATCATGACTTGGCATTTGGTTCTGCACAGATATGAGAGAGAATATTCGTGTGTCTTGTCAGTACAAAAAGTTTAACAGAAAAATATATTTTTGACTCGAACTCGCGATAAGAAGTTCGTAGAGTTCTTCAGTCAAAATACGTTACCTCTAATCTCTACTCTACTAACCGATTATCGTCTACATTCGCGTAAGATTTATCACATGATTTATATAATTTACGAATATTTACCGAATGTGTATTAAGATTGCGCATCGTATAATTCATCTTTTAACACGCTGTCAGTCTCGTTCGCATTTTATCTCATTCTTTTGATATTTAAAAAAAACAAATGTTATCATAATTTTAGATACAGATAATTCGTACATGTAGCGCACGATAAAAATATCTTCACAAAATAATTCAGAGCATTTTTTCGACAAAATAAAAATTCGAATTTTCATATGATTATTTCGTATCCCTCGAGGAAGAATAGTTTAACCCATTCAGACCTGAATTTTTTCTGATAATGTAAAAAATTATTGAATTAATTTTTATTGATGCTAAGGTTTTTTTTTTATGATTTATAACTGTTAGGAATTTTCAAGTCCACCGAGAGATCGCAGGGAAACTAATTCTAAAAAATATAATAACTATTTCACATGATTTTAAAATTTTGTGCATAATTGTGTACATAAGGTCTGAATGGGTTAACGATTAGGATAATACAGGATATTAGAGTGGGAATATAATAACGAGCGACTAACAGCGAGTTAAAGGAAAATGTACGAACGGAATCGAGTTGACGCCGCTTCGACTACACCACCGCGAGGAGAAAAGGATACGCTTCAACGGATATCCTGCGGCGGTAATTCCGCAAAGATTCACGCCGGTCGGCGTTTTTTCGTCCGCATATTTCCGCGTCGCTCGTAAAAACGGCCTCGGTAAGTAGCCGAAACCGCGTAAGAAGTGGTGGCATCGCGGTGTTTCCCGTCCATTCGCGATTCCTTTCTCCGTGCGCCATTCAGGATCGCTGGACTCGCGGCCAAGGTCATGATCACGATGGTCAGGAGGCGAGAGTGGTCCTGTGCCAGGAAGAGTGCTGCTGTTGCTGCGGCGGCAACGGCTGCTGTTGCTGCTGCTGTTGCCTCTTCTGGCTGCAAAAATGAAAAATGAAAATTGAATTGTGTTATTAGCCTCGTTACGAATCTCGATGAATATGTATATCGAGTTGTCACTGTATTATTTATACTATACTGTATACTGTCAAAGTGAAAAATCGCATTTACGTAAACTCAATAAAATGGATAAATAACACAGGTCGGCGAGGGTTTTTTTTTAAAGATGCAATAGTGATTTTTGACGTAATTTTGTGCGCTGAATCCGAATCTGGCCGCCGAATTTGCGTAGCACGTCACGTTTTTGAGTAATTTGTAATTGAATGGTTCAAAAATCGCTATTTCGGCCAATTTCATGAATTTATCATGGGGAAACCAAATTTTTTGAAATATTTCTGCCAATGGCATCGTATAATCCTCACTTTCGCCTTCCAAATCCACTTTCGATTACCGCTGCACGATTTTTTTTCGCTGAGTTATATAAGTATGACGTTGTAAGAAAATTTACATTAAAGAAAATTTATATAGACATCAATATGGTAAATCCATGATCTTGAAATTTGAAAAGACTGACATATGCCAGGTTCGGTTGGCCGAAAAAGTATTGTAAAGAAATGTCTAATACAGTTGTTACATATTTTGATACATTTTTCTAAATTTCATGCCTTTTTATTGTGATTCTATTCGCCATTGGATGCGCCATTTTTAATTTCAAAAGGTGACAGAAGGTATTTAAAAATGTATATTTTATCCTAATTTTGATTCGTAGTGAGATAGAGAGGTGACGCGGTTGATTTAGAATGACTTATTGGATCCCTATGCATGACTAGTCTTATAACTTGTACATCTGAACAAAAAAAAATCATGCGGCGGGGTAATCGAAAATGGATTCGAAAGATAAAAGTGAGTACCATACGATGCCATTGATAGAAATATTTCAAAAAATTTGGTTTACTCACAATAAATTCATGAATTTGGCCAAAATAGCGATTTTTGGGCTATTCAACTACAAATAACTCAAAAACCTGACATGCTATGCAAATTCGGCGGTCAGATTCGAATTCAGCGCACAAAATTGCGTCAAAAATCACTATTGCATCTTAAAAAAAAAATTTTAGCCCCCTTTTTCGCAGGCATGTGTAATGTATCTTATCATTTTCGTAAAATTATGAAAATTATATATTCATTATAAATTATATATTCATTATAAATTATAATTTTCATATTTTATCAAAATTATATATTTATATAATTTTCATAAAGTTATAATTTCATAAAATTATTTTACTATAAATTATTAATACATAATTATTATATGTAATTATTTTACAATTATTATGTAATTATTTTGTCAATATATTGATTTTTATTTGTAAAGTTTACAAATAAATATCAAAATTCGCAATAAAATAATTGTAGCGATAACAAGTATATGATTTTATATACTTTGATATATTAAACGTGACGTAAAAATGAGCGGTCTCTTTTAATATGTCGTCAAAGTGACATACTTTATTACTCCTCGCAGAGCAAACAGCTCGCCTAGTTCGTAGTAGCGAGTTACGATAAACAGCAAGGTACGATAAGGGACATAAGATCCGGATCGTCTCCGTCCTTCCTTTCCTCGGGCATAGATACATGTGCGCGTTGTTTCTTTATGAAATCAGTTACGAGACTTTAATGTGGCGTGGAATTATGCGCATACTTTTGCGAGATTCGATATTCGCGAGGATAACGCGAACATTGAAGGAAGAAGCGCAGAAAGATTTCTACAAAGAAGATGCCGGGCGACGTGTCTCGTCATCGTCGTGTCTCGATCAATCTCTCGGCATAATAAAAGATCGACATGTGTCGCGAAAATAACATCGAATCATCATTTAATCATGTACGTCACAGCGTCCACGTAAGCGAGATTACGAGGTTGAGTCGTAATTACAATGGAATGCAAATTCGCGCCGGCGGTCCAGCTTCGGCTCGCAATTATCTGCCGGCGCAATTTGGGGACGGATCTATATCTGCATTTTCGTCGGCGACGCGAATATTTCGCTTGATAACGATAGCTATAAATGAAGCTTCAATTAGAAATGGTATTTCATTTTTGGCGACAGATTATGTCGAGACAGCTGATTACTTATTTTTTATACACGAATACATTGATATACTATGATATAATATAGGATTATATAACAGGATAATTAAAAATTCAATAAATTGAATACTAGGAGGAAATATGCTGGGGAAATACCTTTGCACTCGATTATCCCCTCTGAGGAGACATAAATGTAGCAAGCAGTTCGAGTGTTTTTTCTAAAGAAATACAGAAAGATTACTTATGATTATATATTATATTTATACTTATGACTTATATATTATACTTATTATACTTATTATACTTATGACTATGACTATATAAAATAAAATTACGCAACATTTTGCATCAATATGTTTCTTTGAAATTTTCCATTCGCAAGAAACAAAAAAAGTAATAAAAATGTATATGCCCAGATATACGCAAGAGAATATTATTCGTCAGTACGTAAGCCTTTACAGTGGTGACGGTACTTCTTTGTAATAGAAGATAGCGATAAAGAGATCCTATATGAAAGGCAGTTCTCTTTTTAAATCGGGCATACGGTTTGTGGTACGATATAACGTATAAATGATGATTTCGTAGAGGAGATAAGCTTAAAGTACATTGTCGGTGCATGTTTCAATTGTTGTACATTAGAAAAATTAATGATAAAATTAAAAATTAAAAGTTTGATTTTGTCCACAAGTAAATTCCATAAAAATAATAAATATCATTCGAATAAAATAATTGGTTCTAAAGCTATACCATTTAATTTAAAGCGACTTATTTTCCATTATTTCGCAAGAAAAAGCGCTCGAGTTGCTGGTAAATGATCCAAGAAAAGTCTTTAAGTGCAAAGAATATATTAAATTTATTGAATAACAAATATCATTCGAATAAAATAATTGATTCCAAAGCTGTACCATTTAATTTAAAGCGACTTATTTTCCATTATTTCGCAAGAAAAAGCGCTCGAGTTGCTGGTAAATGATCCGAAAAAAATCTTCGAGTGTAAAGGATATATTAGATTTAATATTTGCTATATTAAATTTATTTTTATATTTATTAATTTATATTTATATTCATTAATCAGCTCTTAATTGTATTACTGTACAATATCTATTGTGTTATTACAATATCTATTGTACAATTGTGCTATTGTACCTATACAGAGTGTGATATGTACAAACCTGAATGATATGTACAAACTTGATGAATAAGTTACAGAGACCTAAACAAGCAGAAAATGTCCCATAAACATGGGGTCGAAAACGCTTGCTTCTGGCCTTTCGACGATTCGAAATTTTCCTGCAATAGCTGGAGAAATTATCACATCAGATCGCATAGGTGTTACAAAACTGTGTTTATTTATTTCATCGGTTTTGCCACGGACATAACAGGATAGTATACTTGCTAAAGAAACGGTTTCTTTAATCACCAAATAGCGTAAAACATGTAAATAAAGTAGCTTGAACTTCAAACAGCGCAGCTCAGCGTTTAGTTGTTTGAAAGTATCCTGCGATTACAAAGCTCGTTTCCAGGCCTACTTTAAAAACATGAATGAATCAAATTATTCATTTGACGAACTGGCGGATATCCATTTGATGTATGGCCGTGTCGGTGGAAATGGATTAGCCACTCGAATGTACCAAGAAACTTTTCCAGAAAAGGCCAAACTTTTCCCGCCAAACTCCAAACCATCAAACGTTCGCAGCAGTTGATCGGCACCTATGCGATTTGACGTGATAATTTCTCCAGCTATTGCAGGAAAATTTCGAACGGTAACTTTAGAAGCAAGCGTTTCCTATGTTTATGGGACATTTCTGCTTGTTTAGGTTAGATTAGGTTGGAATTTATTCGCAAAGTTTGTACAGATCATTCAGGGACACCCTATATATTACCTAAACATTAGATTTAATAATTCTTTTTTAACGAATTAATTAGTTAATTATTTCAATTAAATTAATCAAAAATATTTAAAAAAAGATTAATTAATTTATAACAGTTAAAGTTTAGCAATTAACTTGTCATTTGTTTGCCATAGTGTGTAAAATATACATAATAGAAAAAAAAGTCAAATCAAATAATACAGGAATTTTAAAAATAAAATATATTTCTTTATAATAAAATAATAATTTTCAAAAATTAAAAATCACAATGTCATACACTATTCTCTAAAAGTGAATCAGTGTATTATTACTGAAAAACAGTAAATAGTCTGATTACAGCAGTTATAAAGTACAGCACTGTAAATCAGTGATATTTTATTGCTCAATTAATAATTTTGATTGTTTCGATCAGTAATATTTTTCAATATCAGTCATCATTTTTCAATATTTCTTTCGTTATTGTCAGTAATATTAAACTATAATTCATTTCTCTATCTATTTCATATAAAATTAAAAATTTTATATCTACTAAATTTTTATAATATTAAAAATTTTATTTTATTTATATCACATGCATATTAAACTTGTTATTTTGTAATAAATAGATAACGAACAAATAATTTTCATTAAGTCGTCAGACATTTATTTGTCCGACTTATAAAGTTCGATTTAATATCTGAAGCCTCTTTAATCAGAAATTAAATCGAAGTAATACTTTTAATTTTAAATGTCGCTCTTTGCAAACTTTATATAATTTTTATAAGTAAAATTAAATACGAGAGAGATGGCGATTGTAGCGGTAAATTAACAAACTAGCGATTACTGGTTTTACAGTAAAATTTACTGATTTTACAGTGAATTTTATTTTAACTGTCCATAATCAGTGAGATATAAGATAAAAATAAGCGTTTCCACTAAAGATCAATAAAATACTCGCTGATTCTCAGTGAAATCTTATTTTACTGCTTAAATTAATGATATTTTCACTGATTCTCACTTTTAGAGAGTATAATTTATAATTCAATATAGTTTCTCAAGTTGTATAATTTATCGCTGAAAACAGATATATTTTACCGATT